GGATGAATTGACTTTTGGGTCAAACTTAGTTTTGAATATGTTTAACTTGGAGAATAGTGATTAGGTAAGTTTCTAAATATTTTTTATTCTGAAGTCCATTTGATTTGAAATTTTGACAGTAGATAGTAGACTTCTAGGGCTACAAAAGTGTGTTTCACAAAAATTCTCCAATTCGACCTCTAAATAGGCCAAAATTGCGCTGGAAGTTTCAACAGACAAAGTGTACCAATACTTTGAACTCTAGAAGCTAAATAGTACCGGTACACAGTACCGGTACGCTTGGTAAAACCCAGTTTGACCCGATTTCGGGTTTTGTCTCCGTTTCTCATCCTATAAATATATTAAGACGCCTTCTTTAACCCCATTTCCACACTTATAACCCTAAAAAGTCCTAGAGAGAAGAAAGTAGGAGAAAAGCATGAGATTAAGAGTGGATTCAACTTGGGGGAAAGATCAAATCTTTTATATTTCTTCCCAAATTACAAACAAGGTGGGGGTTTTCTTTCATTCCTGTCCATTGATGCTAGAGTTAATATATATGTATGACTCATTTTGACTCAAAATATTGGAGAGAGTCGTGTTCAAAAAAATTGGACAGAGCGAGTGGGAGCGAAAGCGAGAAGAGAGACGACGATCATCAACGCCTACTTCGTGAACGCATCGCTCCTCCATCATGGTCAAATTTCACACTGGTTTTTCATCTATATTGCAGCCATGAGAGAGAAGTTACGTAGATATTAGGACTCTTGACTCACAAAGCGAAGTTCTTTGCTGGTGTGTTCTACCATCGCCGATATTACCGTTCTTTGCTGAACCTGCATTCCGGTAAGTCGTTCTTTGCCGAACCTGCATTCTGGCAAGTCATTCTCTAGAAGTTGTTTTGGCGACTTACGAAATTTTATGAATTTTCAATTGGTTAGTTTTTCGAAAAAGATTCTTTCATCTTTTTGGAGATTTTTGAAATTTAATGTATTTCGATGCATGTGAGACTCTACAGGATTGTGTATTTGTACCATCGTCGATATTACCGTTCTTTGCCGAACCTGCATTCTGTTGTTTTGGTGACTTATGAAATTTTATGAATTTTCAGCTGGTATTAGTTTCTTGAAAAAGATTCTTTCATCTTTTTGGAGGTTTTTGAAATTTAATGTATTTCGAAGCATGTGAGACTTACAGGATTTTGTAATTAGGATGTTTACTTTAGATTTTAGTAATTTTATTATTAGACGTTATTTAATATCTGTGATCAAGGAATTGTGCATAACACTTCTTCTGAGTGCATAAAGATATTGTGGACTTTTTTTTTTCTTTTTTGTATTTTTAATCTCCTCATATTCATAAATTTCTTAGGACCTGTTTGTGCATTATTCCTAATAATAAACAGTATGAATGATTCAAGAATATGATTGAAGAACTTAGAAGAAGATGATCAAAGCATTGTTGCAGAATATCCTTCCATCTCTTTGTCAACTGTTACATTGTTATCCTATATATACAGATGCAAAACTGTATTATTATTACAATCCTCAAATTAACTGACTGTTAATTGGACAATTGGAGCTTAGTCGATTGAATTGGAGTCTTTCTTAACATTTTGCATGATTCGGCCATATTGGGTTTGTAGTAAATTATAAATCACTGGTTGTTGAGTTCAATGGGGAAGAAAAAGAGGACCTGAATGTGCTGGAAATTAATGAAAAAATTGAAAAGCTATTATTTACTTCTAAGGAAGAATGAAAACCTTTGGCGATTTTGTTGGCACGTATTTTAGGGGATTTCCTTCTACTTTTTTATGTCACTTGATGTAATACCCCATTCTAATTTGGCAAGGAACTAGTTAGAAATATTATCTTGTAAGGAATAAGAAAAATTTTAAAAAATAATTTAGAATAGTCCAGAATAATCTAGAATATTGGAGAATTTTCTACAAAAATGTAGAATTGTTTAGAAGATTCTAGAAAGTTCAAGAATAACCTAAAATATTCTAGAACAATCTAGAATGTTGAAGAAGCTTATAGAAGAATCCGAAAAGTTCTAGAACAATCTAGAGAAGTCTAGAATATTTTAAAAAATTCTAGCTTAAGAAGCACGGATACGGACACGGGTGTCGTATCCGATACGACACGGACACGGCGATACAGCAAAATCTCAAAATGTAGGATACGGATACGGCGAGGATACGGTATATATATATATATATATATATATATATATATATATATATATATATAAAACAACATAAATAATAACAAATAAGACATAGCAAACATTACTTAAATTGAAATAGATTCAAATTCAAAAAAAATATATAATTTTCAAAACTAGCAGGCAGCAGCACGCTAGCACAGAAGGCAGCAACACAGATGACCAAAAAAAAAGCTAGCTAGGAAAACATAACAAAAAAAAGAAGACCGAAGCACAACAAAAAAGAGAAGACCAGCGGGCAGCAAGCAACACAACACCGAAAGGTAGTAAGTTAGAAAAGCAATTTTCAGTATTTAAAACCAGTTGGTAGAAGCACACTAGCACAGAAATGCAGCAACACAGATGACCAAGACCAAAAAAAAATCCCGAAGGCAGCAAGCAACACAACACTGGACCATAACAAAATTCTCAAATTTTGAAAACCTTAAAAATTCCCAATCAAATTAACCTAATCAAATTTTGTGAAAGTCCACACTCTACACAGACCAGAAAATGAAGAGGTAAAAGCAGCAATAGATCTGAAAAAAAAAATAGAAGCAAGAAGAAGATCGCAGTCGCAGAGCACGATCGTAGGCGCAGGTGAGTCGCCCTTCCTATTCCTTCTCCTTCTTTTTCTCCTCTCGAGCTCCTTCTTTTCTCTTCTCTCCTCTCTTGGTTGAACACACCGAATGTCGATTAGAGTCGGTTCACGGATCAACGACGCTTTAGTTTTTTTGTTTTTCAAGCCAAAACGACGTAGCTTTGGCTTTTTTTTTTTCGTTTCGACCCACCTAAGTTTTTAAAATAACAAAAGTACCCCGCCGTATCCCCCAAGTATTCGAGACGTATATGACCAAAAAAAATGACAGTCACTGTTTAGACACTTCCACAAGTGTTGGACACGTATTCGACCGTCAAACACGCGTATCCGTGTCGGACACGTGTCCAACACTACCCCGGCGACCCCCCGACGAGTATCCGTGCTTCCTAGGTTTTAGCAAATACTAGAAAGTTGTAGAGGGATTTAGAATGTTCTAGAAAGTTTCAGAAGGATTTAGAAGGTTGGAGAAGACTTTAGAATATTATAGATAAATCCAGATACTTGTGGAATTGCCATGTGCAAAATAAGTTGAAAACCTAGGAGGATCTAGGAAGAGGGGAGATGGTAGAATATTCTAGGGAATCTCCCCTACAAATGTCACATGTCAATATTCTCTAGAATAATTCTAGAATGCCTATAAATAAGGCATTTGGGGGTTAGATTAAGGATATTAGGGCACAAGTAGTCTTCCATTTTCAAGAAAGAATAGAGAGTAAAAGAGAGAAGGAAGGAAGAGCACTAAAGGAAATTGTGAGAAAAAGAGAAAAGACATCAATAACATCTCACTCTACTTTGGGTAACAAACAATACTCAAGAAGCATATTATTCTCTTTGGACTTGAGGCGAGTGGTTGGCATGCTACGAATTTTTTCTGTATCCCGAAACATTTTAAAAATGATACATAATGTTTGTTCTTTACTACCTTTACAATAATGCTTTACTAATTGTCTATATATTTGCAGCATACGATTTTGATTACTTTGATGAACTCTTTTGTGAAGTACTGTGACTCAATCATTTGCTTATATGGTGAGACTTTGTGATAGTGAATGAGACCATGATCGAAAGTCCAGGAAAATTATTCCTCTGTGTGTGGGTGACCTTGGCCACTAGGGAATAGACCCGGGGAGGTTGAGGTGACCCTAGTGCTCAACGGTTGAAAGAACAGTGCCTGGTGCGTCCTGGTGACCTTCACCGGATCGTCTTAGGGAAAAGTTCCCGGGCGGCAACCCGTGGTGACCCTAAGTACGATGTTAGATCCAATCTTGAGATATATTCTAGCATTTGGTTAAAAGTCCAGGGAAATTATTCCTTTGTGTGCGGGTGACCTTGGCCGCTAGGGAACAAACATGGGGGAGGCTGAGGTGACCCTAGTGCTCAACGGTTGAAGGAACAGTTCCTGGTGCGTCCTGGTGACCTTCACCGGATTGTCTTAGGGAACAGTTCCCGGGCAGTAACCTGTGGTGACCCTAAGTACGATATTGGATCCAACCTTGAGATCTTTTGGCATTTGATATGGTTCCCAGATATCGTATAAGTCCTTACCAGTATGAGATGATGATATAATTTGTTATTGTCACAACGTTTTTACTGGTTTTGTTTATGATTATCTATCGTATGTCATATGTATCTTGTTGTTATTAGTTATTGTATTTGGTATTTGATTCCCATCGATTATTGGATATCGTACGGTCTCCACCATTATGATATGATTCACCATTGTGGTATGATTTCTTGTTGGAATCCGATTGTGTTATTCTTGAGTAATTGATTATCTTGATAAAGTTATTTTTCCAAACCTTTGATTTACATGTCATATGGAAAGTATAATTAACACACATTTTTAATGTTCTATGGTTGTTTTGGTACAATATTTTATGGTGATTATGTGCTTCATCCTACACACTTAGGTTATTTCTCCTTCATTCAATAGTTGATATTGCTTTGTAAGGGAATTATTTCAAATGTAACTTGCTCCCCAACTTCTAGAAAAGATGGCTGCAAAGATTATCGGGTTAAAAGCAATGTTGACGAGGACAAAAAGGCAGATACTTTTTGACTTTTAATAATCATAAGGCCCTTGTGTAGTTAGGTAATTTGCCACCTCCTTATTTATTTTTATTATATTGCAGGAAATGTGTATTTTCACTTTGTTTTCAATATATAGTATTCTTGCTTTTTTTCTCAAAAGAATTAATTTATAACTGGCCCCATTCTAAACAATAGTTGAAACTACAGCCCAAAAAACGATGGCTTTTCTTGATCCCAAAGATTCTTCTATCTGACCTTCATCTTGATCCATAACTGAAAATTGATTATTACTTGAAACCTGAACTGCATTCACAGTGATGGAATTCTGAGGAGCCTTCCCCAATGCTTGCACGACCTTGGTTAAACCACCAGCCCCTACCTTTGATTGCCCAGTTCCAACTTTCTGAGCCATGGGATCAACATCAGAATCAATCTCCTCCTAAACAACCCTCATAGTACCCGAAAACTCTCCATTCTCCACTTGTTTGTCTTCCACACACTTCCCTTTTCCCTTAGAACTCCTTCAACTTTTCTCCTGAAAAAGATTGAGTTAGCCACACCCTTAATCTTCTCTTGGTTTTGCTTCTGACAAGTGGTTTTAGGTGTTAGGTTTGTCTCCACCTGGTGTGAAACAAGATGATCTGCATTACCTGAGTCACCCTTCCCCTTCTAATGGTGATCTTTGAATCAACACTATAAGAGCCTGTACAACCCCTTCCCAGCTTCACTATTCTCAATGTTCTCCAAGGACAATTGTTATGCAGGTTTTTTAATCTGATTTGTAACATGTTGATTTACTTGGCCAGTTCCCCTCTCCTCAAGAACATCCTTTCTTGTATTGGTTTTTGAACCATTCTGCACTTGATCACCTCTTATTTAGCAGTTGATTCTTTCTCTGCATCAAGCTGTGAAGCTAACATATCAGAAATAGATTACTCATGAGCCAGCATTAACAGTGGAAGCCAGTCCCCATTCTTGTTGGACAAGATCCACCAATTTCCCCTTCCCTTTCTCCACCTTTGACATTTTCTTAAACTCTTTTCCTTGGACTTTAAGCTTGGTGTTCCTTTGGTTTGATTCCTGACAATGCTTGAACCTTTATTACCTGAGGATTCGTTTCAGTCACTTGATCCTTCTTCACCATATTATCCTCCTTTTTAAGTTCTTGCTTTTGTGTTTTTCCTATAATCATCTTCATTATGACCCTGCTTAGAGCAATTCTGGAAATATTTGATATTTTTTTAATATACAACCTATTGTCAATGACCTTTAACACCCCCAATCTCTAACATAGTTATCATCATCATCGTCAGTTTTTTCTTCTTTGCCGTCTTCGTCTTCATTGTATTTTTCTTCCATGTAGTCTTCTTCTCCTTCTCCTTCTTTGTAGCCTTCTTCTACGTAGTCTGGTTCTTTTTTTGTGATCTACTTCTTCTTTGTAGTGCTCTTATTTTTTTGTTGCTTCTTCTTCTTCTTTGCAGTCTTATTTTTCTTTTTTTTTTGTGGTCTCCTTCTTTTGTTTCCGCTCTTCCTCTTCTTCTTCTTAGTATTAGTTGTCGTCTTCTTTTTAGTACTAGTCGTCTTCTTCTTTTTCATTTTCTTCTTCGTCTTCATCTTTTGTTTCTACTTTTTCTTCTTTGTAGTCATCTTCTTCGTCATTGTCATTTTCTTATTCATTGTTGCCGCCTTCCTCCTCTTCTTTTTCTCTGTAGTTTTCTTCTTTGCTATCTTCTTGTTCTTTGTGGTCTTGTTCTTATTCATCTTCTTTGCGCTCTTATTTTTTCTTCTTCTTTATAGTCTTCTTCTTTGTAGTTTTCTTCTTTTCTCTCTTTGTAATCTTCTTGTTTTTGTTCTAGTCTTCTTTCTTTGTTGTGTTCTTATTTGTCTTCATCATCTTCTTTTTCTTTGTGGTCGTCTTCTTCTTGTTTTCTTTCTTTTATTCTTTCTAGGCTTCTTCTTCCTGTGTAGTCATCTTCTTCTTGTTTGTAGTCATCTTTTTCTTGTTCTTTTTCTTTCTTCTTCGTAGCCGTCTTCTTCCTTTTTGTCTCCTTCATCGTCATCGTCATTGTCATTGTCATTTTCGTCTTCCATGTTTTCTTCGTCATCTTCCTCTTCATCAACTTCTTCTTCGTCTTTTTTGTATTCGTCTTCTTTTTCTTTTTCTTCTTCTACTACTTGGTAGTGTTATTTGTTTTTGTCTTTTTCTTATTTTTAGTTATCTTATTCTTCTTCTTCCTTTTTTCTTCTTTGGTGTCTTCTTTTTTGTTGTCTTCTTGTTTTTCCTCTCCTTGTTCTTCGTAGTCTTCTTATTCTTCTTCGTAGCCTTTTTCTTTGTAGTTGTTTTCTTCTTCGTAGTTATTTTTTTTCTTTTTTGTTGTTCTTCTAGTCTTCTTTGTAGTCTTTTTCGTAGTATTATTCTTATTCGTAGTCGTCTTCTTATAGTGGTCTCTTTTTTTCTTCTTTTTCTTCCTTGTAGTATGCTTTTGTTTCATAGTCGTCTTCTTTGTCGTAATTTACTTCATCTTCTTCCTAGTCCTTATAGTCTACTTTTTTTCTCTTTTTTTTCATAGTCTTCTTCTATTTCATAGTCATCTTCTTCTTTTTCGTGTTGATAGTCATCGTCTTCTTCTTCGTAGTCTTTTTCATAGTCATTGTCTTCTTCTTGTTTTTCTTACTCTTCGACTTCTTCATAGCTTTCCTCGTATTTCTTCTTATTTGTCTTTCTCGTAATCGTTGTCGTCTTCTTATTTTTTTTCATAGTTTTCTTCTTTGTACTACTTTTTTCGTCATAGCTAGCTCTTTTTTTTCATAGTCTTCTTTGCAGTCATTTTCTTCTTTATAATCTTTTTTGTAGCAATATTATTCTTTTTCATATCCTTTTTTGTAGCCTCCTTCTTCGCGCTTGTAGCCTTCATAGCCTTTGTCTTCTTTTTTGTTTGTTGTCTTCTGCATATTCTTCTTTTTCATCGTTGTCTTCTTCTTCATAGTGTCCTTTGAATTTTACTTTTTCGTAGTCTTCTTTATGTTCCTTTTTTCGTATTCTTTGTAATCTCCTTTGTAGTGTCCTTTTTTGGAGTTTTCTTCTTCTTCTTCTAAGTGTTTTTTACGGTTTCGTCTTCTTCGTAGTCTTCTTCTTCTTTTCGTAGTCCTTATCTTCGTTGTAGTCTTCTTGTTTAGAGTCTTGTTGTTTGTAGTTTTTTTCTTCTTCTTTGTAATCTTTTTCATCTTCTGCTTGTTTGTAGTATTTTTCTTAGTAGCCTTCTTCTTTGTAGTCGTCTTCTTTTTCTTCTTCGTGATGTTGCTGTTGTTGTTGTTCTTTTTCTTCGTATCCTTATTCTTGTTCTTCATAGTCTTCTTCTTCGTAGTTGTCTTCTATTTCTTCGTAGTCTTATTTTCATCGTCGTAGACTTCTTTATCTTATTTTTTCGTCTTTGTCATAGTCATCTTCTTTCTCCATAGTTTTCATCTTCTACTTCTTCGTAGTCTTATTCTTCAAAGCCTTATTCGCAGTCTTCTTCTTCATTATTGTCTTCTTCGTGTTCATAGTCTTCTTCTACATATTCTTCATCTTCTTCTTTGTAGTCCCTTTATTTTTTATTTTTAGTAGTCTTCTTCTTGTGATCTTCTTCTTCGTAATCTTCTTCTTTGTTGTGTTCCTTTTCTTCTTATTCTTCTTCTTCGTAGTGTTCTTCTTCGTTGTAATGTTCTTTTTCTCCTTCTTCTTTTTCTTTTGCTTCGGCGTTTTCTTCTACTTGTTCTTCTTAGTCTTTACCCTTACAAGTCTTCTATTTCTTCTTATTTGTAGTCTTCTTCTTCTTCTTCTTCTTCTTCTTCGTAGTACTAGTGTTCTTCTTTGCTGTTTTAGTTATCTTCATCTTATTTTCTTCTTCGTAGTGTTCTTCTCTTTTGTAGCCGGTACTTCGTTTTTTTTCTTTTTTTCTTTTTTTGTTGCATTCTTCTTCTTCCTAGTCTACTTTTTTGTAGTCGTCTTTCTTGTCGTTGTAGTTTTCTTTTTACCTTCGCAATCTTCTTCTCCTTCAAACTTGTGTTTTTTTTTTTCATCTTCATGGTCCTCTTCTTTTTTCGAAGTTGTCTTCTTCTTTGTAGTAGTCATATTCTTCTTCGTAGTCAACCCCTTCGTATTCTTCTTCTTCTCTTCTTGTCTTTCTTCTTCGTCTTTTTTTTCTTCTTCTTCATAGTATTCTATTTCTTTTGTTTTTTTGTGGTATGTTTCTTCTACTTTTCCATCGTAGTCTTCTTTTCCTCCGTCTCCTCCTTCTTCTTCATAGGTTTTTTTTAGTATCTTCTTTTTCGTTGTCTTATTCTTTTACTTCTGTTCCCAGTCTCCTTCATATTCTTATTCTTCTTTGTATCCTTCTATTTTTTCTTATCCGTAGTCTTTTTCTTCTTCTTCTTTATAGTTTTTTTAGTCTTCTTCTTCATAGCTTTCATATTTTTCTTCTTTGTAGTAGTCTTTTTCTCTGTTATCAAAGTCTTTTTTTTTCATAGTATTTTTTTCCTCTTCGTCATAGTCTCTTTTTTCTTTGTTGTCTTCTTTTTTTTCCTCTCCTTGTTATTTTTCATAGTCTTCTTTTACTTTGTAGTCGTCTTAATCTTCTTTGTATTCTTTGCGTTCTTCTTCGTGGAGTTCTTATTCTTTTTAGTCTACTTTGTATTCTTTTTCATAGTCTTTTTATTGTTTTTTGTAGCTTTTTTCTTTGTAGTTGTCTTCTTCTTCGTAGTCTTTTTTTGTTCTTCTTCTAGTCTTCTTTGCAGTCTTTTTTGTAGTATTATTCTTATTCGTAGTCGTCTTCTTTATTTTGGTCTTTTCTTTTTCTTCTTCTTCTTCCTTTTAGCATTCTTTTGTTTCTAGTCTTCTTCTTGTTTTTTTCATAGTCGTCACCATCTTCTTATTCTACGACTTCTTCATAGTTTTCCTCGTATTTGTTCTTATTCGTCTTTCTCATAATTGTCGTCTTCTTATTTTTTTTCGTAATTTTCTTCCTTGTACAAATTTTTTTGTCATAGCCATCTTTTCTTTTTTCATAGTCTTCTTTGCAGTCATTTTCTTATTTATAATCTTTTTTGTAATAGTATTCTTCTTTTTCATATACTTTTTCGTAGCCTCCTTGTTCTTCGTGGTCATGGCTTTCGTAGTCCTTGTCTTCTTCTTTTACTTTTCTTTTTTGTTTGTTGTCTTCTACCTATTTTTCTTTTTCATCGTCGTCTTCTTCTTCATAGTGTCCTTCTTTGTATTTTCCTTCTTTATAGTCTTCTTTATGTTCCTTTTTTCCTCTTTTTTGTAATCTCCTTTGTAGTTGCCTTTTTTTTTGTAGTTTTCTTCTTCTTCTTCTGATTTTTTTTTACGGTGTCGCCTTCTTCGTAGTCTACTTCTCCTGTGTAGTCATTTTCGTTGTCGTCATCTTCGTTGTAGTCTTC